AGGGAGCTATCAAGGAGATGTCTGAGCTGCAAACCAAGAATGGGCAGAAGAAGGGGTAAGGCCATTTAGGATTGAGTTGAGGAAGCATGGCTTCACTCAGAGGGTAATGAATCTTTGGAATTCTTTACCTCTGAAGGCTGTCGAATGTGTTTAAGTCAGAGACATAAGATTTCTACATATTAAAAACATCAAGGGACATTGAGATAATGCAGGAAAATGGTACTGGAGTAAAAGATCAGCTTCAAATCGCCTTGAAAAGGCAGAACGAGATCAAAAGGCTGAATGACTTACTCCTGCTCCTACATTTTATGTTCTTAGAAACACTCAAAATCAGAGACTCATCATCTCTCTCAAACCATCCCCTGCTGTTTACAAAGTCACTGGTATGGAGACCTGGGTCAGTTCTCCAATCAAGTCAGTCAAAGCAATGTGGGATAAATCTCGCCTGAGCTTGGGAGGTAGGCAGAACGAAATTTTTCTGACATCAACTCAGTTCCAAATAAAGTTTTGTCAGGCAGCGTCACATATCAGTATCTTAGCCAAATTGCGATTCTTCACCCAAGCCTTGACAGCACTCTGCCAAGCAGACTATTTGACTGATTAAGCTGTGCATAGCATCTCCTCCACATTCTTTCTGATAGAGATCACTGGAAAGGCCAGTGTTTATCGCCTATCTTCTCTGAATTAATCCTTCCACTGTCGCAGCTGAAATTAGCTGATTCATTACATGGCACAGGTATACAGTAATGCAGAAACAGCAGGAGCAGTGAGGCTATTTGAGACTGCTCCAACTTTTGATATGACAGGCTGATCCATCGTCAATTCCATTTCTTGTCCCACACCCATGTCTCCTGATTCAGTTACTGGCCAAGAATCTTTTTTTTTTTTAAAAAAAAATCATTCTTTTGTATTATATCAGCATCACTGGCAAGGCTAGCACTTATTGCCCATCTGCCCCTTGTCCTGGAGAAGATGGTGCTGAGCTGCCTCCTTAAACCACAGCCGTCTCAGCTGTGTCAATAGGAAGTGAAATATATGCAACAACTGAGCATCCACAGCATTTCTGCTAAAAGAATTCCAAAGATTCACAACACTTTTAATGTAGAAATTAGGAGCGGGAACAGATTGTTCAGCCCCTTGAACCTGCTGTACTATTTCAAGTATATCATGGCTGATCTGATCGCAGCCTCAACTCCCAACAGTGTTCCAAACACTCATGACCCCAGTGGAGAAGACATTTTCTTTCTTGAACTATGGCGACTTTTTAGATGAATAACCAGTTTCTGTGCCACAAATGGCTGGTTGCTTATTCTGAGACTCCAAGCCCTAGTTCTAGACTCCCTGAAGGATAAACTTATGGAGCCCTCAGGAGGGTTGAAGGGCCTGTTGAGATGAAGTGTCTGAATCTGAATTTAACATTTATTGTGCAGAACAGGGAACACCCCATGCTCTTGCTGCTCTAAAGTTAGTGTTGCTTCAGACATTCTCTCCTGACATCTTCCAAACTGCTTTTAATTATTTTCAAATGGCTTGAAAAGGTCTCCGCTCACTGTAAACAAGATGCTGGGCTTTATCTCAAGGAGCAGGAATGTAGAGGGATTGCTTTAACTGTATACAGCCTTGGTTAGATCCCATCTGTTGTAACTGGATTCAGTTCTCAGCACTGCATCTTAGGCCTTGGAGGGAATATACAAATGATTCACCATTCACATGGCCACCTGTGTTAACTTATGAGAACAGGTTGCAGCTTCAGACCTCTCCTCAAGGATAAATGTTTGAGGAGTGATTAAATCAAAGTGTTTAAAATAATTGAAAGGGATTTAACCAGATAGGTAGAGAGAGAGAGAAAGAAACTATTTCCTCTGGTGCGAGAGTCCAGAACTAGCGCGAGCCAAATGCAGTATGCCAGCTGGGATCTATACAAGGTTCTGAAAATTAGAGCTCAGTGATTTAGGGCTAAAATTGAGAAATCAGCGGTCATAGAAATCCAGAATTCTACCCTCCAAAAGGGTGTAAATGTTGAGGAACAAATGAAATGCCCTTGAGAGAAGTTTTTATTGGTTAAGGGTACCAAGGGGATTAAAGATGGTGGATGGCCTTGATGTACAGATCAATGATTTCACTGACTGGCAGAATAGGATCAAGGGTCTGAACAGTCATCCCCTATTTCTTTGTTTTCTTTCCAGTCAACAATACAACCAACATATCACGTGACTACTGGATAAACAGTGGGCCCCACCTACCTCCTCTAATGGTTCAGCATTGAAGATCTCAGGGAACAATTTCAAGAATGCAGAACTAAAAGTGATCAGAATCCTGGGAACACCTCAGTGCATGTCAGGTTGGTGCGGGAGTATGCTGAGTTTCAATGGTGTAGCCCCTGAATAGCCCAGCCAATACCGTTTTCAGTTGGGCTGAATACAGCTGTACCCAAGATGCCAGATAGCTGGCTCTTGCAAATCATTCTCAGAGGGCAGTATCATAGAAAACGTTGTTAAGGTAATTGCAACTCTAGGTTCTGAGTTATGATAATCTAGAATGCACTGGGCAGTGGAGAGAGATTCAGCAAATAACTTACATAGGAAAACTAGTTAAAATATTTCAAAAAGTAAAAGGTAGACATTTTCAATCAAACTGTTTAGACATGTAATGACACACCTTGGAATGGGCAGGATGAGAACCTGGGCCATCTGGTCCAGAGTTGGGACACTACCACTGTGTCACAGGAACCCTCAAGGGCCATGGGACTAATTGGCAGTTGTTTCAAAGCTGGTGCAGGCATTACATGCAAAATGATTCTATGATTAAAGATCATTAACAAAAAACAGTCACTCACCTGAAAAGGCTGGAACTTTCTGGAAAGGTTATTTTCAGGCAAGAAGGAGACATCCCCATCGAGATACAAGGCCACAATCTGGGAGATTGTTCCGGAAGCTAGTCTAAGAGTGGATGGTGTTGGAGGGGGAACAAAGAAAACAAAAACTTCGTTTTCATGAAAAATAACTTCTTAAACACTCTGGACAAATTCCAAAAGATAACTAATCACTCCAAAATAATTTTGTTGCCAGATAATTTTCAAAAGCCAGATTTAAAAATATTCACACTGAGGGTGAAAATGTTGCTGACAACCTTGGCATTTGTTTTTCTTTGTTCTTCTGTGGGATTTAGGCATCATTGGCAAAGTTGACAGATGCTGCCAGTCCCTAATTGCCCTTGAACTGAGTGGCTTGTTGGGCCATTTCAGTGCCAACAGTGCCATTAACTGTTAACCACGTTTATTGAGTCACATGGTCTACAGTCACATGTAGGCCAGATTACCCTCCCAAAAGGACATGAGGGAACCAGATGGGTTTTTCACAACAATCGATGATGATTTCATGGTCACCACTGAGACTGTTTCAAGGATTTAGACATGAAATTTAAGTTCCACAAACCACCATGAGAGATTTCAGCCCATGTCCCCAGTGACTTAGCCTGGGTTCCTGCATTACTAGTTTACTGACATTACCACTGTGCCACTATAACCCTGTCCCAAGCTCCCAGAGTAGGTGGTGGATCTTCTAGAACTGGTGTTAGTCATTGGATACCACGGAGTGACAGACTAAACTACTTCAGAGAACAATGAAGAGTCACTCAAGTTGGCGTGGGCTGGGATCATCAAGACCACCCAGACAGAGCAAGGTCAGCAGTATTCCTTCCCTAAAGGGCATTGCAGCTAAAACCCCAGTTTGTTCACCAGTCAAATAGTTTAACTTTTATTAATACAGAATTTCTGAAAACTGAACTCAATAGCTCAAACTGATGTGGTGGGATTGGAAGTTGTAACCTCTACAAACTGAAAGGAAGGAACATCAGACGGTTATCAACTTCTGATAACTGGCAAAACAATCAGTGGGAAATTAAGGGATTTTCTTTTAATTTTACACAGCAAGTTACTGTGATCTGGAATGTGCAGACTGCAGATGGTGAAAGCAGATTTATTAGTAATTTTCAAAAGGGAATTGGGTAAGTACTGAAAGAAAAATTAAATTAGGGCTTTGGATAAAGGATAGGGCATTGGGAGTAAGTGAATAGCTACAAGGGGCATCATCAGTGAATATCTCACCTCCTGACTCCCTAAACCTATCCATCATCTGCAAGGCAAAAGTTGAAGTGGTGGAATAGTCTCTACTTGCCTGAACGAGTGCAGCTCTGAAACACTCCAGGACAAAGCAGCCTGGCTTGACTGGCAGCACATCTGCACCAATTCGTTGCAGTGTGCGTCACATTTACAAGATGCACTGCACAAATTCACCGAGGCTGCTTTATCAGCATCTTCCAAACCCACAGCAACTACCACTTGCGAGGCCACAACCACTACCACCTGGGAGGCTAGGAGCAGCTGGAACATCACCACCTGCAAGGCCTCCCCCCAGCAACTCACCATCCTGACTTGGAAATACATCGCTGTTTTTTCAGTGTCATTGTGTCAAAATCCTGGAACTGCCTCCCTATTGGCACCGTGGGTCTATCTACACCAAATGGACAGCAGCTGTTTGAGAAGCTTGCTTACCAGCACCACCTTCTCAAGGTCAAGAAGGGATGGGCAATAAATGCAATAAATCCAGCCAGCAAGCCACATTCTATGAATGAATTAAAATGGCTCTTTCACAAAACTGGTACAGGCACATAGAGTCATACAGCACAGAAACAGACCCTTCGGTCCAATTCCTCTGTGCCAATCAGACATCCTAAACCAATCTAGTCTCATTTGCCAACATTTGGCCCATATCCCTCTAAACCCTTCCCATTCACATACCCATCTGGATGCCTTTCAAATGTTGTTCCCACCTCCACCATCTCCTCTGGCAGCTATATAATGCACTCTGCATGAACATGGTGCCCTTCAGGTCTTGCCCCTCTCACCTTAAACCTATGTCCTCAAGTTTTGGAGTCTCCTATCCTTGGCTATTAACCCCATACATGTCCCTCATGATTTTATAAACCTCTCCGCCTCTGACGAGAGTTTTTCACAATCTCAAGAGATCCCCAAGGTGTTTGTTGCCAATTTGGTACTTCCGATCAGTAGTCAATACTCTCATGCAGGAAATGCATTCAATTTGTGCACAGTAAGCTCACACAAGCTGCACAGTGATTAACGGTCAGGCAGTAGTCAATGGACTTTAGAAGAAGAATGTAACAGATAAGATTCTGAGGGGGCTTGCTAGGAAAGATGCTGAAAATTACCCCTTTGCTCCTCATGGGGAAACCAAGAATTAGGGGGCACAGTTTCAGATCCATTTAACAGATTTTTTGTTCTCTCAGAAAGTAGTTAATATTTGGAATTGTCTATCGCAGAAATCAGTGGAGGCTGGATTATGTGTGATGGATCTTTGTTTTTTTAAGTATTCTTTACAGTGAAAGCCAACATTCTGTGAAAACAGTCATGTTGTAACATTCAGATGTAGAGAGCTGCTATGGGACAACATTGAATTCCACCTTGTGATGAGAGTAGTGGATATTGCAAGATTTTCAATAGAGCACTCAGGAGGTGGTGGTGGTGGTGGTGGTGTGGCGGTGGGGTGGCGGTGGTGAGGGATGTTGGGGGTCACTGAAAATCAGTTCCAGGGAAAGAGATAGAAGTAGATTCCGTGTTGGGAGTGTTGATTTTTCAGATATTCTGCAGGAAAGAAGTTAAGCACAGTTGGATGACTTGATGCTGTTCGAATAAACCCAGACAGAAGTTTGAGGAAACATTATGCAGCTCAGAAGTGGAGTCAGGATGCAGAAGTAGTCCTGGTCAATTGTGAAAATGGGAAGATTGCTGGCTTTGTGTTGGAAGAAGACATGAGGGGATCAGAAGGTGTCTGTGAGCATTACTTTAGCGCAGCTGAGACAGCGGGAGTTCAAATGCCCATATAGTTTTTACTTCATTGAACAATGCAAGATTAGAGTTTGGGGAAAATTCAACAACATTTTTGGGTCGTTGAAGTTAGCTGTCAGTGAAGAGCTGGAATTATGTTTCTGAATGGGTACTAGATGCAATCTCAGAATCTGAGGAAGCATATACCCAGGACAGGAGGTTAATCAGCTGGCTTCGTTGAAGTTGCAGATCCAATGGGGATTTTCAAGTCCAGATTCGAAAAATGAAGAACTGCAATCCTTTATGAAGTTTAATGAGATTTGATGACTTAGTGTCTCATTAACATCTGTCATTAACATCTGGACAGAGCTGCTGAGAAATCTTGTTGAGGATCTGTCTTGACAATATTTGTTATTTGATGTGGGCTGTGGAGCGTATGATTACATGTATTACCCATGTTTACTATCTTAACTCTGGGTGCATGAAATAAATTGTACACATAACACAGAAAATATTATCATCTAAATTGTATATGCAAATGTTGCTGTTTGTTCAAAATTATGGAATCTCGTAGGTTTATTGTCTTTACAAGACCCCTGCGACTCACCTTTTGTCTATTTGAAAAACAAAGGTTAGTGGTCCCTAATCAAATCGTTACACGATTTGGTGGTCTGGTTTGGGATTCTAACACAAAATTGGCGGTCTGATATGGGATTATAACACACTGAAAATATGCAAGGCTGAGTTGGTCAGATTTTTGATCTGTAAGAGAATTAACGGTTATTGGGGTGGTGGGTGGGGAGTGAAAGGGGAATTGAGGCTGTAAATCAGATCAGATTACCGAATACCAGAGGAGGCCAAGCTTGAGGCAAACTGACCTTTGCCTGTTCCTACTTCTCATGTTCTTATAGTCTGTTTTAATGAAAGATAAATATTAAGCAGAACTCCTCTGCTCTCCTTGGAAAACTTCAGTGGAATTTTTTTTACATCTACAATTCCATGAGGGGGCAAATGAGGTCTCAATTTAACATCTCAACTAAAAGATAGAAAGCCCAACCAAGCAGCACTCGTTTCATTATCAGATTGAAGTGCAAACTTGGATTTTGAGCTGAGATCTCAAATGGGGCTTGCGTATTACCAATGGTTCAGTTGGTAGTACTCTTGTCCAAATCAGAAGGGTTTGGTTCAAGTCACACTCCAGGACTCGAGTAGAAAGATTACCATTGACATTCTTGTGCTGGAGTGTTGCACTTTTGGATGAAATATTAAATCAATGGCCCATCTTCTCTCTCACGTAAGCACAATTTCACAGAAGAGTTATCCCTAATGCCCTAGCCAATGTTTGACCCCTAGCCCTAGCCAATTCAGGGTCGCAAAAAAAAAATTATACGGTCATTACCACATTAATTGCTGTGGGAGCTTAGTTATCACAGATGAGCTGTTGAATTTTCCTACTGTACAACAGCGGTTACATATCAAAAAGTAATTGTTTGGCTTTAGTTCCTTCTGTGGGCGTAAAAGGCAACAGAGAAATACAAGATTTTTTTTTCTTGTGAAACCACAACATTCTGACTCAGAAGCCAGAGTGCTATCTCCTGAGGCACAGCAGAGACTTGAGCTTGACACTTGCCTGAAAAAGAGCTTCACACATACAAATTACTGTTCAAGTTCAAGGAATTCAGCTATTCAGCACAGCAAGTTACAAACATTAAGATGAATGATCAGTTCCTGTGCTTTTCGTTGATGTTAATGGAGAGAGAAATGTTGTCTGGAAGCTGGCAAACAACTTGCTTCTCTTTCACTAACTCCTCACCAAAAGGTTGTTGACGTGCAGGACTGCCCGTTTCTTTTTTCTCGTCTCTTGTGGTAACCTCACCAACTTACAACTAGCGAGAGATCCGAGAGTGAGAGAAGAACATCAACTGCTGGGTTTACAAGACTGCACCTATCATCCATAACACTGGTGAAGTGGCAAATGACTGCATCTGCACATTCATTGCAGTGCAACATTATCGCAAAGGGATGGAACAGCAACTGCCTGCAACATCGATGACATTACCCAATTGCCAGTTGCAGTAGCAGGTGTCTAAAATAAATTGGAAAACATTTGGACGACAGAGTTCACATCTGCACATGTAATCCATCTACATGCACTGGAGGCACTATCACCACTGTGAGACACCATAGGACCCATCTGCATATGCATGGGCTCATGTGACCATATTTGCATGGATGAACTCTGCCAGGCACCTTTGATATTTGGAGCACAGGCTGTAGATTTACAATTCACTCTCTCATCAAATCCACTCTCAATAAGGGCAAACAGTCAATAAGTTGAACCAGTCTTGACTGGGACAGAGATTGCATCCTACACAAGAAACACGAGCAGAAGTAGATGATACAGCTCACAGGTCTGGCAGCATCTGTGAAGAGGAATCAGAGTTCAAATCACCTGACCCAAAACGTTAACTCCGATTTCTCTTCAGAGATGCTGCCAGACCTGCTGAGCTTTTCCAGCAGCTTATGTTTTTGTTTCTGATTGAAAGCACCCATAGTTCTTTCGGTTTTTAGACAATTACAGCTATTGAGACTGCACTGGCAGTCAATACAACCATGGCTGATTACCTGAGTTCATTGCCTGAACTCCCTGACCATGACACACAGCCACACAAACTCCAATTTCCCACCCAGTCCACATACGCCTCTATTCCCTGATGGACCAAAAATTTATCAATATCAGCCATGAATATATTCAATGTATGAAGCATCTACTGCTCTCGGGAATACAGAATTCCAAAGTCACATAACCTGCTGAGTGAACAAATTTCTCAACTGAGTCCTAAGTAAGTTACTCATCGTCAATGTTTCCTCTAAGCTGTGTGGCTGTGCAGCTGCTTCGATGGTCCACACTGCATTGACTTCTAGTTCTGGGAAGTCACTCTCATGCACAGACCTCGGAAGTCCGTGCAGGAAATAAAGTTAGCGTGAACATTAGTCCTTACCCTGAGACTCTGTCACCACGTTCTAGATTCCCCGACCACGGGGAAACAACTACTGTGTCCACTCTGTCAAGCCCTTTCAGAATTTATGCTTCAACAAATGTCCTTCCAAATAATATGTGGCCCATAAGATCTCCTGGTTGGGAGGAATTTTTCATTAGACTGTTTCTTTTTTCCTGGCCCAGGGGTTTCCATCACCCAAGAGAAGATGTGAATACAAGGGGAGGGTGGGAAAGAAGTATTTGGTCATGATGGCTTGGCCATGGTGGTGTGGGGCAAGCTTCACAAACTAAACAGCTATTTTCTGTCCCTGAATATTGTTAGAAGTATCAAAAACTTACTCCGTCTCGCCATCACTGTAGGCAGTGCTGATCACAGTCCCAAACGCCATGATCACCTGTTCCTCACATAGGATGCCAAGCGGGACCTCACAGCCACAGTCTAGATCAGATATTTTACAACGTTTAGTGAGTAAAATTCATATTTCTTCATTTTTTTCAGTCATAAACTTTATTATCTACCTCCACTTCAAATTACACTAACCCAAATCAACAGAGAAGGGGAACTGTAGGCAGCAGTAAATCTGATCTTAAAGACAGCAGCTCTGACAGTTCAATACTCCCTCCGTGATGAACGGGAATCTCAGCCTAGATTACATGTGTAAACCCGTGAAGTGGGACTTGAGCCCCTCAACATTCTGACTGAGGCGAGGCAGCAACCCAGTGAGCCGCAGCTAACACTTTAAAGATTTTTCAAATTCCAGTTCTGAGAAAGGGTCATTTGACCTGAAACGCTGACTCTGATTTCTCTCTAGAGATGCCAGACCTGCTGAGCTTTTCCAGCAATTCTGTTTTTGTTAAACATTTTTCCAAAGTAGGTTGCTTTCTTTTAAGGTAGTGCTATTATAGTGGGTTGCATGGAAGTTCATGTCTGGACTCACTGCTGCATGGCGTCTTCGATGGAGGGAGGAGAAGAGGGTCAGTGTCTCGGTAGCAAGGCCCACATCTGATTTTTTTTTTAGAAAGCTACAGACCAAAGAATTGAGCTGTAACGTAACTGGGCAAAAAGCAGAGTACGATATCACAAGCTGTGCTTACTATGACAGAGAATTCCTATCAGTGTCACATCTGTTTCCTATCAATGGGAAGACAGAGAGGGAGGGTACTGATCAGTTCAGACTCAGTTTTTAATTTCAGGATACCTCAATATGTAAATCTCCCATCCCTTGCTCTGGAGACATTGGTAACTATGTTAGTTACAGACATTATACTCAGAGTAAAAGAACACCCTTTTTTGTAAACCATGTTTTCTTGTTCCTTTAGCTAATCCAATCCAGGTCTCTAACGAAGAAATACCGCTCAAATGTAGACGTCAAACTGTGTCTGAAACCGGTCTCTTGAGGTGCTTGACTCCTGATCTTCGAGCTGCATGTCCTTGAGAAAACAATGACAAGAGTGCCTGGGAGAGACGTGTTACGTGGATGCTGTGGGTGGGGGTTGCAGGAAAAAAATTGGGGCACTCGAGAGGCAGTATCACTTAGGACAGGAAATGACAGAAACATGGAAAGAGCTAGAGGCTATTTGGACTCTCAAACCTGTACCACTAACTAGCGAGCCCATGACTAATCGGAGGTTGAACCCCAATCATCTGTATTGGTACCATTACCCTCAATATCATCAGCTAGCAATCTTAAACTAAAACTATTAATAGAGTTAGCATCCACTGCTTTTTTATAGCTGAGTTCCACGTATCTAGTAGCTTTTACATGAAGACTTGCATCCTAACCACTCCTAACTGGTCTGGCTGATTTTAAGGATATGTCACTTTTTTTCTAAATTCCATCCACAGAAAAAGATTCAGGATAGAGTGGATGAAACAAAGAGAGAGTCTGGCTAAGTGATAACTCAGCCTTCCTTCCCCATGGAAATATCTGTGGTCCATTCAGCCCCTCTGTGCAGTCCTGTGAATACGGTCAACCAACTGAGTGGAAGAGTGGGGAAGTGGGAATTAATCCACTTCCCACTGCTACTGGAAATCTCAGCATGTTGTGTGACTACACCTTTGATTGGAAGTTTCATTTTAAGTTGAGAGAGAGAAAGAGGGGCAGACAGAATACAACTGAAACAAGATATGTTTGAGAAATGCAAACAGAATATGAATTCTAACAAAATGGGCAATAAATTACAGGCTGGCAAAGTTCCAGGTTAGGGTCCCAGCCCATGGCAACTTAACTGATCTGCTTTTTGAATCCAAAGTAGAAAAAAAACAAAAGATTTAAAAATTGATCAAATTCTGCAAATATTTAATCAGAAGAAAATTAAAATAAAAAATGGGCAAGTACTAGTTTGGGGTTTGAATGTATGCTTGAAGATTGTGGTCAATGTCCTTCAGTAGTTTGAATGAATACTGGATTAACTACTTCAAAAGAAAAATAAAGAGGGAAAAGGTGTAGAAGTCTCAGAAAGCCTAATTAACCTCCTCCTCATCCAATGGAATCAGAGTAAAGCATGCTTAATATTTAACAGCAATCGCACTGTTTTGTGTGAAAATGTAAAAAGTAAGTGGAAGCCTTGACTTGTTAGAAAGGTGAACAGACCTTTCCCCTGTTCTGACAGGGAATGCTGACTTGAATGCTTAGCATTGCTAGTTTGAGTTTGGGTGTAAGGTATTGTTTACCTTGTACAGCTGTCTGGATGGCCAGTCCCAGCAGGCATGGGATGACCATTTGGTGAAAGTACTGGCTACTCTCTCCAGCACCACGACAATGTTCTGCCACCAGCTGCAGGCTCTGGCAGGTCAAGATGGCCGTGTCACCTTCATTGCCTGAACTCCCTGCAAGAAAAATAAAGTTAAACTAATTAGGTAAACCTGATGATGGAGCTCTTTCATACATTACTGCTGGGCCACAGTTTGCAAAACTGTCTGACATAGGACAGGATAGCTGCCTCCCCCTCCCAAAAGTCTGGTGTTCTTCAGCTGAAGGAATTTTGCAATTCAAGAACAGGAAATAAAAATTTTACGTTTATATTGGGCCTTTTATAATTATATCACATCCCAAAGCGCTTGACAGCCAATTAAGTACTTTTCAAAGGTTGACAGTAGCCATGATGAAATGGAGGTGCCGGTGTTGGATTGGGGTGGACAAGGTTAGATGTCACACAACACCAGGTTTTGTCCAACAGGTTTATGTGAAATCATAAGCTTTCGGAGCGCTACTCCTTTGACAGGAGCAATGCTCGGAAAGTTTGTGATCTCAAATAAATCTGTTAGACTATAACCTGGTGTCGTGCGACTTCTAACCTTGAAATGTCGATTCACTGTTGCCACGTAGAAAATGGGTCAGCCAATTTATGCATAACAAGATCCCAAGATCATGTGCTTTAATCAAACAAAAACAAAACTTGCTAGAGAAACTCAGTAGGTCTGGCAACACGCACGGAGAGAAAAACAGAAGGGGATGTGAAGTATGGTCACTGGACACTAAATGTTAATTTTCTTTGCTCTCCACAAATGCTGCTAGACCTGCTTAGTTTCTCCAACAGCTTCTACTTTTGTTTGTTTCAGATCTTCGGCTTCTGCAATCCTTTGTTTCATACTGGTATGCTTTAATGTTGATTAAGGGATACCCTCTCTTTTCTACCCAACAGTATTGCCTTGGGACCTATCCACCTGAGGGGGCTGACAGGCCTCAGTTTTATGTGTCAACTGGTATGTGCCTCGACAGTGCAGCACTCCCTAGTTGAGTGTCGGCTTTGATTGTTGTGCTCAAGTTGAGGAATGCACCTAAACTCACAAAGCTCTGACTGAGAAATACATGATACCCACAACTGCCAATAAAGGCAAATTGAAGAGGGAACAAAACTATCAAACAAACGTTCAGACTTGCAATGTATTGAGTTTCATGCCCCATGAGTGACCGACCGCGACGTTCTAATTTTAAAAACATTAGTCCTAATCACAAGATAGTTATCAATAGCAGATCACTGATCACTCTGTTTGCCTCTGATGTACCTTCTTTGGTCTCCTTAACATTAATGGTCCCCTTGCCTTTCAAAATCCCTGCCTTTTTCATTGATACTATCTCACCCAAAGAAGACATCAGTTCCAACCGGAGGGAGAGTTTTATAAACCTCTCCACAGCTGAACAGATACTCTTGAGTTATGATTTGGAAATAAACCTCAGCTTTCAGCAACTCAGTTCACCAACTCTTTCATGTGAAAAATACTTCTTCTGTAGGATTCACCTTTCTGTAAACGGATCAGATGCTGCAGCAGGACTGGGACTGTCCTCTTCACTATACTGGGGTGCGTGGAAATGGCAGCCAGAGCCTGTATACTGCGTTGACGCAAAGCATTACCAGACGATGCAGGAGGTTTGTCATCACTCTTTACTTCCATCGGTTCTAGAAATATCAACATACAAAATAATCATATACAAAACATTCACCCCACCCCCCTCCCCTATTTTCGACATATAAACTGACGTTTTCCCAGCCACCAGCAGTTCTGAGGAAGGGTCACCGGACCCAAAACGTTAACTCTGTTTTCTCCTTCACAGATGCTGCAAGACCTGCTGAGCTTTTCCAGCAACTTTGTTTTTGTTCCTGAACAGCATCTGCAGTTCTTTCGGTTTTTACAAAATATTCATATTCAGTATTAATTACTCTTTTGGTTACTCTCCTCAAAACTCAGGGCATGTTTCAGACAGTGTTTCAACTCCAGTTCCAGTCTCTCTTGCTCAGGGAAATTTCAGAGCAGCTGGTTTAAGAAGTTGAAGCAGAGAAGCACAATTAATGCTGCAAGTCCAATATGAGCCTTCTTCAGTAAAACAGTGTGGCCCCACCTCACCTCCAACACAATGGCTTGTTTGTGTCTTGTTGGCTTTGCACTGATCAGATACTAAACGAGGTCCAGTCTGATTTGCAGGTAAATGGTACAAGATTTTCACACTTGGAGACAACGGCAGCAGCCTGTATGCTAAAAATGCACATACTCTGACTCTCCACAGACCCGGAAAGTGTTGGGAATGTTGGCTTGCAAACAGCTCTGCTTTAAACTGGCTATTTGCTTCCAAGATAAAAGGAGCAGCAAGGTGGCTTAGAGGTTAGCATTGTAGCCTCACAGTGCTAGGGGCCCGGGTGATTGTCTGCGTGGAGTTTGCACGTTCTCCTTGTGTCTGCGTGGGTTTCCGCAGGGTGCTCCCGTTTCCTCCCACAGTCCAAAGATGCGCAAGTTAGGTGGATTGGCCATACTAAACTACCCATAGTGTCCAGGAATGTGTAGGTTAGGTGGATTAGCCATAGGAAATGCAGGGTTATAGGGACAGGACAGGGGGATGGGCCTGGGTAGGATGCTCTTCGGAGGGTCAGCGTGGACTCATTGGGCTGTAATGGCCTGTTTCCACACTGCAGAGATTCTATTCTATGGACAAGTAACAGCATTTCTACCTGCATACATGCTCTAAGTAATTCACGTTGCTATGGAGCAGGACTTTAAGAGGGGAAATGTTTCTTCTTCACAGGCAGCCCGTTATGGGTGAGCGGGAGGGAGGGAAGCTAAATGCTTTTATGGTGCACAACACAATCCGTTACAATATTAAGAATAGGTTTTTGTTCAAATCCTACAGATAATCATATATACTACCTTGGAATCTATATCTAAGAGAAATCAGCTAAGGAAAAAATTCAAACTAATGTCAGGCAATAGAAGTGGCCTCCCCTATCATTAAAGTCTGTGAAAACATCATGACCGAGGTTGGACTACCAGCCTGTCCATCTGTAAGATACTCTACCAGACAGCCAATCACAGAGGAATAACCTCGCACTGCTGCCAAATAGTATCAAGTTGGGGGGGGGGGGGGGGGGGAGGGAAATGTGTGGTCTAAGTTTCAACTATATACAATCTGAAGTTTTTGTGTGCTTTACTGCGAAGAAAAGCTGAAGCTGTAACAAAGTTGTATCAAAATAAAGTACCTGAACCTACCACCAGACTCGGACTCTCACTGGAAATATATGAGATCTAACACAAACGATCGTTCCCCATGCTCCTAATTAATGGAGTGGTCAATTAGTGATTTATTCAGCGACAATTTTTCGCAGATACTCAGTGACATGATCTGCTCTCATCAATGCAGACAGTGTACTTGGGCAAAGGCAATTACATATTGCAAGGAACATGATTTTACCAGGTGATGTGGTATCAAGGAAATAAACCACGCCAAAACTAGCAGGTCAAGAGTCAACAATGTAAAAATACTTTGTGATTCTCGTCAATGCGCTTTTGGAACAATTTCTGTTTTGTAAACAAAATGAATTGCAAAGATAACTTGCAATTCCTCTCTTGAATAGAGGAGTCTGAGGGGAGATAAATAGAATTACTCAAAGTTTAGAGAGATTTTTATGAAGTACAAACGAAATAGCTTATATCAGAGATGGGACGGTCATTGGTCACAGATTTAAGATAATCAGCTAAAAAAAAAAATCCAGGTGGGCAGCAAGGATTTTCTTTTAAACACAGCAAGCTGTTGTGATGTGCAATGTGCTGCCTGAAAGGACGGTGGAAGCAGATTCAACAGTAACTTTCAAAATGAAATTAGATATTTCAAAAATGAGACATTTACAGGGCTATGTAAAAAAAAAAAATGAGATTGGGATGAAAAGGATGTTTCCTTCAAAGCTATAATGAGCTGAATGGCCTGGATTACATCAATATGTGGTTGAATTTTGCCATACCTGTCATATGGTAGGAGAGCCACAGGCAGTTATAAAACCAGCAGCTTTGATGCCAATTCCCACTTTTGAAGAACCTTTCACGTGGGTTTGATTGATCGTGTAGGTCCCCTCCCTAAAACCAAAAGTGGGAAGCAGTATTTGCTAACCTTAATGAACGGGTCTACCAGATTTACGGATGCAATTCTATTACGCAATGTCAAGGCAGAAAAGGTTGTGGAGGAGTTGCTTGCTTTCTTCCATTATGGACTACCCAAGGAGATTCAGTTAGACCAAGGATCCAATTTTACTGCCAAATTATTTAAAGATGTCATGGATAATTTAGGCATCAAACACTTTAAATCAAGTACATACCATCCTGAATCCCAGGGAGCACTGGAAAGGTGGCATCAGACCGTAAAGACTATGCTGAGGGCTTATTGCCAGGATTATCCAAATCATTGGGATAAAAGGTATACCATTTATATTATTTGCTATTAGAGATGCTCCAAATGAATCGACTCCATTTGAATTGATATTTGGACAGGAAGTAAGAATGCCGTTAAAATTAATTAAGGAAAAGTTGATAGGTCCAAAGTCAGAACTCTCATAGTATCTAAGTACCATCTCATGTATCTAAGGTGAGAGAAAAATTAAACAGAGCAGGTGAATTAACGAGACATCATTTGAAGGTGGCACACCTTCTAATGACGCAAGAAGCTGATAAGAAATCTAAAATTCATACATTTGCCTGTGGGGATAAAGTATTGGTGCTGTTACCACTGGTAGGAGATCCCTTCAAAGCAAGGATTAGTGGTCCCTATGAGATTGAGAAGAAGTTAAGTCAGGTGAATAATCTGATAAAGATGCCAGAAAGGAAAAAAAAATTATCGGGTATGTCATGTGAACACGCTGAAATATTACTATGACAGGGAAAGGGAACTGGAGAAACAGGTGTTAGTTACTGCCACTCAGAGTGAAGAATAAAATCCAGATGATGAGGATTTTGATGTGGCTTAGAATAAATTGAATAATGAGGAAGTCCTTAAGGAATAGGATAGGGTAATGAGCTATCAGTCCCAGGAACAGAGAACTGAATTGAAAGACTTGTTACAGTGCTGTGAGGGCATATGTAGAAATAGAATGGGGAGGACTAATACCATAGCACAAGAGGTTGACTTGGGAATGCTGTTCCGATAGAACAATACCCCTACAGGCTTAATCCTCTCAAAGCAGTACAGGTTCAGAAGAAAGTGAAAGCAATGCTCCAAGAAGACATCACACAGCCGAGTTAAAGCAAGTGGAGTTCGCAGATCATGTTGGTTCCCAAACCTGATGGTACTTAACGATTCTGTGTAGATTATCAGAAGGTCAACAACGGTGACCAAATCTGACTCAGACTCAATTCCAAGGCTGCAGGACCGTGTGGAAAAAGTAGGACAAGCCACTTACATCACAAAGTTGGACTTACTTTGCTGTTGCTGACAAGTACCTTTGTCAGAGAGAGTAAAAAGAAGTTTCTGCTTTTGTAACCCCAAATGGGTTGTATCAATTTAAAGCCATGCCCTTTGGAATGAAAAATGCACCAGCCATTTTTCAAAGACTTATGAACAGAGATGTCGCAGGATTGACTAATTGTGCCATCTATACAAGCGACTTAGTGATCTTTAGCCATTCATGGAAAGATCACATGGAGCATTTGGCAGAGCTCTTTGAGAGACTACAGAAGGCAAAGTTGGTCATAAACTTGGCAAAAACAAAATTCGCAAAGACAGAAGTGATTCTCTTAGGGCACAACATCGGACACAGACGGATGACGCCAAGGGACGTGAAGACGAAGGCCATCGAGGAATTTCTAAGACCATCTTCAAAGAAGGAAGTGTTACGATTTTTAGGATTGAATGAATTCTGCAGGACATTTGTGCTGAACTTTAGTAGCGTGGTCACACCACTGATGGATTTGTTAAAAAAAAGTACACAAAATTTTGATGGCAAGAACAATGCCAGGAGGCATTTGAGAATTTAAGAGCAGTGTTAACCACTGTACCAGTTTTAGCCACTCCAAATTTCTTGAAAGCATTTAAAGTAATCATTGACATAAGTGATGTAGGGGTTCGAGCTGTGTTGTTACAGGAGGATGTTTGTGGAATTGAACGGCTAATTGGTTATGTTTAAAAAAACTCAAAATCCACCAGAAAAATATGCCATAACTCTTTTTCAATGGTTGAATCTGGTAATAGCCTAACATCATTTTAATATTTACATTGCAAACAATGCAAACCGATCACAATCCTTTGACATTTCTGGAAAGATTTAAAGACAAGAACACCAGATTATTTTGTGGAATCTTATGTTACAAGCATTTAATTTACAGATTGTACATGTTGAGGGAAATGTTACTGCAGATGCTTTATCGCGAGTTTGAAAGAAAAACATTTATACAAGATAGAAACGGTAGAGTTCAATGTTATATGTAAGTAGAATTAGTATAAAAGGTGTAACTCTAGATTAATGAGCTATGGATCTAGTAATAGAATGGAGTCAAGGAAGAGAAAAAAATGAAGCCATCTTTTCTTAATGATGGCTCACTTTTTTCTTAAGGGGGGGTCATGTTGCGAAGTTGGGTACAGTATTTATGGACTGGGAGGCGGGACGTTAGAATTTAGTGTTTGTAAAATTCTAGGGGGAAGCAGTGCATGGTCCCTTTAAAATATAATGTGCTTTTTCTATGCTTAGAGATTCAAAAAGGACGTCTGTGGGCAGCCAGCTTGTGGGTTTGCAGGTGCACAGAGCACCTGAATTGAAACATGTGCATCAAACAGTTGTATAGTTAGCAGGCCAAGCAGCAGTTTTGTTTTGTTATTAAGACAAGTCTTGAATTTAGCCAATTAATTTGAACAAGGCACTTAGATACCAAAAACCAATTAAATTTAAATCTGATGGTTTTGACAACGTAAGACCAACCCTGTTGTAAGAGACTGACATGTCATCAAGGATATAAAAGAAGAGGACAGTTGGACAAAGACAGGAGAGCGAACTGCCATCTGCCAGAGTTAATGGCCATCAGCTCTAAAGAGAGAATCAAGGGCTCTCACAAAATTCTCTCAGTCTTAGACAAAGCACCATCTAAATGAAAGATACCTACGGTACAACTAGTTAATATTCCTATTCAATAGAGAAGGCATTCCTGACAAAACATCGATGAAGAAGGCAAAGAACATTCTGGAAGACCTATAACCTGGCTGTAATTTCGAGCCATTAAATTATAATTTGTTTTTTGTTTTTGTTCTTTATAAGTGGGACTTGCATTTATTGGAACAGCATACCATTAGAATCTTGTTTTATTCAGGAATAGTCAGTAGTGAGAGGAGAATTGTTCAGTTCGTTAATAGTTTAGCTAATTTGTTCACTGTTAGAGTTAGCTAAATAAATTTGTACTAGTTTATTGTAAAGTGAGTGTTAGGGATTTCTTTTATTTAATGACGAGAAGTTGCTGAAAACACAGATTACACCCTTTCTCACACTCCTTTTAACAGATTATAGCACAAGGTGCTCCCTTTTGGGTAATTTGTTGTCAGTTCTTGGTTCGGGGGGAGGGGGTTGGGGCGTGGGGGTATTCAACTTTTGCTTTATAACAAGTACGACTCTAAGTCTAATAAGGTCAAGGTAGGTCTAAGGTCTTTTGGCATTCCAAACCTTGTTACATCCTTGTGTAACAATCCATCTAAATTAACACGGCAATGTGATATACCTGTATTTAACTCTTGCGTCAGTGCTGGGACCATCTTACTAATGAAAGCGGAGGGATGGATTGCAGAAATGGTCGTGGAAGCTTCCAATGCTGCAGCACTGAAGAAAGAAAGGTTTGAAAAAATCAACAGCTTGTATTTATATTTAGCACTTTTAACACAGTAAATAAATCTCAAAGCCCTCCACAGAAATATAATCAGACAGAATACTGACACTCAACAACATGATATTAGAACAGGTAACTTGATCAAAGATGCAAGTTAAAATAGGAGAGGGAGATGGGCAGGAACTGCAGAGTTTAGGGACCATTCAGCTGAAAGCATACTGGTTTTATGGTGGGACAGAGAAAGTGAGATTGCACAAGAGGCCAGAATTGGATAAGAGACCATGGGAGAGTTGTACCACTAATCATTATTACGGATGGAGCTTTAAATATGGTGAAGAATTTGAAATTTAAAGTGCACAGTCATTGGTGTGGAGGGCATGCAGACCACCAGCACTTGGAAAGGCCAGAGCAGACCAGCAGGCAAAAGTTCAGCCTCAACACTATAATCTTTGATCGCAGGCTCACAGCTCATTGGGGAAATGAGGGGGCTACGTCCCAAATTGAACAGAGGTCATTTACTCAAACATTCTCTTGTTGGAGCAGTCAATTCCTTGCTAGGGGGTCTGTAGGGAGCAGTCTCCTGTGCCTCACCCATACAACAAGTATTTCACCTGCCAGTCCGGTATTCAACTACTAGGGAAGGACAGGAGATGGGCAATGGTCATAAGATGTACAGACCATCTAAGCTAAAATTTGTCCTCAGCCCAGGTTGACACTAACATCCTGCAGGCTGGACAGAAGACGATTAGGAATGAGAACCCTGGTAACTCATTTTTCATTCTCAAGCTCCAAGTTGCTGTGATCAACAGTAAAAGCTGTACTGACTGATCAGCAGTCTTGGAAACAAATCATTGATGCTCTTATCTGTATGGCATCAAGATGCAAATGTTTGTTTTAAACTGATTAAGCCTTCAGGTGTCTATATGCCACCTGGTATCCCCCTCTCTTCCAGAGTTTTGGAATTAATTTTAAATTATCTGCTACATATTGCAAGGCTGTTGCACAGCAGCCAGAATACTCCAGAAATGTTCTGTCATCCATCACCAAACAAGAAACGGAGCAGAGTTTTCCCTGGAGTATTAATAGGAGACAATTAAAATCCTCACCAAACCTGAGGGTCGGCCTCCTGCAGGATCAATCTGTTCAAATGGTCTACACTCAACTCGATGTCGGTGGGGGACAGCAAATCTATAATCGGAGAGAGATCAATGAAGCCAGACACACAGTGAAATAACAGTAGGTAAACAGAGGTGCTCATAGCAGTTCTGCACAAGTTAGCCAGCCTGCCATTCAAATGAGTTCAGTTAGCAAGCACAAAAAAATTACATCCGAGCACACGTGAGAATCTGAAGAGGATCTAACCTTGCTGTGATGCCAGAACTGCCAAAGTGCTGATCCCCACCATTTGTAGTTGGACACTGGAATCAGTCAGTGCAGAAAATACCAGGATACAAAGCTGATCCTTAAAGGTGCACAGAGGATTTTCGTCTGCAAGTGCAGGAAGTTGGGGGAGAGAAGACAGAAGAATTAAAAATCAGATCAATGTGATCATTTCCCATCAGACATGCACATTGCTAAGCTTCATTGTTCAAAAATAATAGTTTGCATTTACCTAGCACCTTAATTTAATGCGCTAGAAAGTCCCAAGGGTTTTACCAATCTTGTACACAAAGTCACATGAAGAGGTATAAAAAGATGGATGATAAAAAGCTTGATCAAAGCAGTAGCTAGAAGCCAAACTTCACGTAAAGTGGTATAGACACTTGAGTGAATTCCAGAAACTAGTGCCCATCTAGCTGAAGGCATGGTTACCTATGGTGGAGTGATAAATTGAGAGGAGCACCAAGATCTAAAAAGCTTGTAGGATGAGAGCAGGAAAAAAAAAAAGAGAAGCTACAGAGAGGTTTGACTACAAACATCTGGAAAACCTGGAAAATAAATAGCTACTAAGCATGTACTGACAAACAAAAATAACTCCTTTATTTGTCAACGAACAAACTGCAATTTACACTTATTTTTTACGAAGGTAATTATATCTCCTACAATGCCTCAGCAAAACCATTTCTTAAAGGGGCAACATCAAAAATCACACCAGGTTATAGTCTAACAGGTTTATTTGAAAACGCAAGCTTTCAGACTCTCGCTCCTTCTTCAGGTGTTAGTGAGAGAGGCGGCATCAGACACAGACTTTGAAAGCTTATATTTTCAAATAAACCTGTTGGACTATAACCTGGTGTTGTGGGATTTTTGACCTTGTCCACCACAGTCCAAAACCGGCACCTCCACATCCAGAGACAACACAATTCCATTTTTTATATTGCTGATGCTGGAATATTAACACAAGCAAAAGAGCTTGCTCAGTGATAATGATTCTCAAAGGATATGAACATTACAGCCTATGGTGTAAAAGGTAGCCATGATGTGGAGGTGCTGGGGTTGGACTGGGATGGACACATAGAACATAGAACATTACAGCGCAGTACAGGCCCTCGATGTTGCGCCGACCTGTGAAACCAATCTGAAGCCCATCTAACCTAAACTGTTCCATTATCATCCATATGTTTATCCAATGACCATTTAAATGCCCTTAAAGTGGGCGAGTCTACTATTTTTGCAGGCAGGGCATTCCACGCCCTTACTACTCTGAGTAAAGAATCTACCTCTGACATCTGTCCTATATCTATCACCCCTCAATTTAAAGCTATGTCCCCTCGTGCTAGCCATCACCATCCGAGGAAAAAGGCTCCCACTGTCCACCCTACCTAATCCTCTGATCATCTTGTATGTCTCTATCAAGTCACCTCTTAACCTTCTTCTCTCTAACGAAAACAGCCTCAAAACCCTCAGCCTTTCCTCATAAGACCTTCCCTCCATACCAGGCAACACCTTGGTAAATCTCCTCCGCACCCTTTCCAATGCTTCCACATCCTTCCTATAATGCGGTGACCAGAACCGTACGCAATACTCCAAGTGTGGCCGCACCAGAGTTTTGTACAGCTGCAACATGACCTCATGGCTCCGAAACTCAATCCCTCTACCAATAAAACCTAACATACTGTACGCCTTCTTAACAACGCTATCAACCTGGGTGGCAACTTTCAGTGATTGCTATCAACCTGGGTGACACAGTCAAACATCACACAATACCATGTTATCATCTAACAGGTTTATTTGAAATCACAAGCTTTCGTAGCACTGCCCCTTCGTCGCGTGACTTTTGAACTATGGTGTAAAATGCGTTTCTATCAAACATAATTGTATTATCAATATTCTAGGAACACTTTATATGGAAAAATCAAACAGTTACATTCTTTAATTTACATGACAGGTAACAAATGATAAAATATCAGAGTCCAGAATTTGCTTTCAAAGTCTGTCACTGGCTGTTTTCAGTCTCCAGGGTGGAGTTATCTCTTGTGGTACTGAGAGTGAACACACATTGAATAAACAAACATTACAAATAAAGCAGCAGCAAGTGTGTTGGTCATGCAGCCGAGGTCTTTGCAAGATAGTCTGACATTTTTTGCACTCTGCTCGTTGTTGTTGCAACCTTCCGTTAACTCAGTCCTTTTTCCTGTGACATAAGAGTAAAGTATCCAGGTTTATCCGCACTTTCTCTCATTGATGCTGTGATTCGACTTTCCCTCAAATTCTACAACAATGTGAAATGATTTCAAACAATTCACAGGAGTGTTACCAAAAATCAAAATGATAAAGAAGTCAGTTGAAGAAATAGACTTTAAACAGCATTTTATAGGAGCGCGCAGGGCAAGAAGTTAGATGGATTTAATGAAGGGATTCCAGAGCTCAAGACTTGAGCAACCAAAGACAGTTTCCAAATATAAAACCATTAAAACTGGGAGATGTGCAAGAGGCCACAATACCCTCGATAATATCCTGGAACACCACGGAGGCTTGTCGTGCACCCCCACTTCCTCCATCCCCACTCCCTGAATATCTGATTGACACAAAATCCAACCCACCTTCCTCATCTCGATCCCACTTATGGATTAGTTTAATGAAAATTTTCAGAATTCCCAAGATTGTCCAACGTTGGCTACTCTGCAAAAAAGAACATCCCATCATTAGCTCAATTTAAAAGGTTTGAATGCCAATACATGTAAAGTGCCTCACAGTGTCCTTGTCAAGTGCGTCACACCGAATTAATGTTCGAGCACAGTGGCAATCATGTAAGGAAACTTACCAATCTGAGACAGCAAAATCCTACAAACAAGCATGAAGGGCCAATTAACTAGTTTGTTAGTGGTGCTTTGCAAAGAAATGCCAGCCAAGACACCACCACTCCTCTGTTCCTCTTTGCATAGTTCAGGTTGCTTTTTCACATTTTCATACTATACCTGGAACGTTGTGCATAGTTTTCGTCTCCTCACTCGAGAAAAGGAGACCAAAGTAGAAGTGCAACGAAGGCTCACCAGTCTGATTCCTGTGATGGAAAGGTTGTCACACAAAGAGAGATTGGGTTGACCCAGCCTATATTCACAGAAACTTAGAAAAATGACTGAACTCTCAATGAAATGTATAAAGTGCTGACAGGACTGGACAGACTGAACGAAGGGATGATGCTCTCCCTGGCTGATGGGGTTTAGCACAAGGGGTCAAGGTCTTAGGATAAGAATTAGGAGCAGAGGGAAATCATTCAACCTTTAAAAGTCTGTTCTGCCATTCAATGTGATCACAGCTGATCTGATAGTTCTCAACTCCACTTTCCTGCCGTTTCCCCATAATCCTTGATGCCATTAATAATTAAGTCTGTCTATCTATCTTGAGTATATTCAGTGACCAGGCCTCAACGGTAGATAATTCCACAGCTTCACTATCCTCAGAGAAAAAAATCCTCCTTAACTGTCTTACATGTGCAACCCCTTATTCTGAGATAATGTCCTCTGGTCCTAGGCTCTCCTACAAGGGGAAACAGCCTTTCTGCATCTACCCTGTCAAATCCTCAAAAAATTTTTTATGTTTCAATAACGTCTCCTCTCATTCCTTGGTATTCCAAGAAGTGCAGGCCTAATCTACTAACCTCTCCTCCTAATACATACCTGGTATCAACCTAGTATACCTTCTCTGCACTGCTTCTGATGCTACTGCATCTTTCCTAATGAAGGGTAGGCTACTTAGGAATGATGAGAGACATATCTTCATTCAGAGGATGGTCAGTCTGTGGAATTCTCTAAAATAGAAGGCTGTGGAGATCAAATTAGTGAATATATTCAAGAGAGTAACAGATAGATTTCTCAACACTGAAATGACAAGGGGGTTATGGGATAATGGTGTTGAGATCAGCCACAATCAAACTGAATGACAGTACATGCTCAATAGGTTGAGTGGCCTACACATACCATTATTTTTTACGTTTCTACGTTTAAATATCCAAACAGGACAACAATTCTTCAATATACAAATTCTCTGCGGAAAGAGTTCAACTTTACACTGTGCATGAATCCAGAGTTTTGACAGGTTATTGAACTGTGCAAAACACCATAGCTTTAGTTGAGGCTACTTTCAAATTAATGTTATTTCCAAGAGGAATTCATCAGGTACTGACTGGAAGTGGAATCCACTGCACGAGTGTAAG